GGCGGTAGTTTACTTTGTCTGTGTCAACCCCCCGTTTAAAGACAGGGGTAAGGCGCGCTTGCTTCCATTCAGACGGCAATAAGCGATTAAGAATGCAGAAGTTGATCAAATTAGTCACCTTTTCGGCAAGTACTGGGGATCCCAAACGCAAGATTCGTGGTGAATTGCGGTCTACCCTAACTGCCTTTCTCGGATTAAGGTGACCTCAAATGTAACGGATATATGAACTACTGACTGGGGAGTAATTAAACTCGCTAGAGAAGCGTAGATTGCTTATTGCCTTAATACTGGGATGGTCAGTGTAGTCAGTGTCAGATCTATGCTCTAACTGAAAGGTATTAGTAAAGTAATCACTAAAATCTTCGACCACACACCCCAGGGTCGGAAACAACACTACTGCCCTCAACGAGTATGTTTTTACCAGAACTGGTTAGCAAAAGGGGGCTTCATTTTTCTCCGAAATTCGCCCGGACCTTTAGCACTCAAGGAAGCGTCACAGCAGAACCTTTTCACAGCATTGAACTTTAGTGACGTAACTTTGTTACGTTGCTGCTTATAGTCATCCCAAGAAGTAGATGTAGGATTCCGCTTGTGAACCAAAAATATTACTCATGAACCAAAACATTTAACCTTCAGATCGGAAGCATTCACTCAGTTTTTAAAGAAAGGTCTTTTTATGTCCGAGCTCTCTTTTGGCACATCTCTTGATGTCGATCACTATAATGTACAATACGTAGCTGTTCATCGCTATTGTGACTGGTCTGGGGCTGGGCTTTTATCTGGTGACACCGCTGATCAGCTTACACGTTGGCAGAGAGGAGACTGATGACTACTTTGACATCTCGATGAATTCACCGTCCACAAGACATCAGCAATTGTGAAATCTTCTCAAATATCATTAACCGCAAAGCAGGATACAAATACTCTAATCGTGCTATGACGAAGGTAAATCCTTTAAACTATCTGCCGATGAAATTAAGGAGTTTCAACAATTCTTCAGAAATTATATAACCTGTATGATCCTAGTACAAAAACCCTTTTACAACAGTCGCTTCCCTTCCTTTAAGATAGACGTTATGTTAGCCCATAAATAAAGATAGAAGTCTCGATCGATCGTATAGTCTGGTGACTAAAACAAATTATTGATGACTTCATTCCCTGGTATGTACTCTTCTCTCCGAACTTACGGACCAGTCGTTATTTATCGACTGGTTGGAGGGGGGGGGGGAGATTTTGGGAGAATAACATGATTTTCAGGGGGAACGGAGTGTCATTAGTCGCCAAAAGAGTTTAAACGGGGGACTATTGAAAATCGACTGCAAATTAACTACCAATAAGAAGAGATCATCAGTAAATTATAGAGCGTCAGGGAGGATCAAACAATTTTTTTTAAATCGTGACACAACCAAAATCTTCCGATCTCCCCACCCAGGGGAGATCAGAATTAGAGATAGTCATTAATTAGAGATAGTCATTATTAATCCCCCAGGCGATTAATAATGACTCGTCCCTCAGAAAATGACGTCAACAGATCATTCTTCTTGGCTTTCGCCGCCTTCAATACGAGACGTGCAATAAGGTTTGGAACGCTTTGAGATGAACAATGGTACCTTACCCCTGACCTTGGTCAATTGTCCAATTTGACGTTACTTTTGCTCAGCGTGTGATGTTTATGACTTCGTAATTACGTGTTATTGTCGCCGCCCGATACAATTGTTCTGCGGAATTAAAAAAAAAAAAAAATTCACTAAGTCACTGTTTGATTGATTGATTCTCCTGTACCTTAATTAGTTTCTTTATAGCTTTTTGTCTTTGGACATTTGTCCACCCTATGTAAACAGAACCATTTCTTGGAACCGGTAGATGGTTTAAGTATAAAAAATTAGCTAACAAAAGGGAACCTTACATAAGCTAACGCCTCACTGTGGAGCACGTCAGTTCCTTGCTGCGAAATCATTTTGCGGAATGTTTTCTTCCTTTATCCTGAGTTTTATCGTAGTGACGTTTTCACGTCAGACGACAGCGTCGCATTTTCGCGGTGGTATCATCACGTGGAAACCGGGTGGAAATAATTCGAATAAGGTAAAAAAGAAAATTACGCAGGTGTATTGAGTGACCTTCTAGGAACGTAACATGTGTCGGAAAAAAAGATGTCGCCACTTCAGATTAGTTGTCATTACAGCAGCTAAATGGGTTGTACAGTTTGTGGTGAGAAAAGAATTATATCACAAGGACTCGATTTTGAAGTTTAAGAGCTTAGATCAAAAAAAAGAAACTCGATTATCGAGGAGCTAAATTTACGCTTGCAAGACTGGTTAGTCTTTTACTCGCCTATTTAGCTTAAATTTTGTGCGACTTATTTGTTTAAAAATCTCGCCAGCCTCGGAGCTCATGGCTTCGGTAACTAGTTTCGCAAGAATTCGAAGAATGCTGAGCGCATGACTAATTAGATAATAGCGTGCAATCGTAGCGCATTTACTTCGGATGGGCAACCTGTAACAATTTATGGCTGCTTTACAGAGTATCAACGATTATGTGGACGGGATAAAAAGCTTGCAGCAACAAAAATCGCTAACTTTCTCTAATAAGCTCGTATGACCAGTCGATTAGATGGTAAAACACTGACAAACTGATTAACAAATTGTGCATCTAGTAAATGCAAACAGTGTTAAGCGCAATAAGCCATTGCATAGATTGGTTGCATAATCATCTCAGGATGAATTAAAATTGCTAACCCTGGTACCTTTAGTGTGGTAATTCTGTTAACAACCGTTAGTACCGTGATTTGAATAGCCAAGGCAATGGCTACGTCGTTCAGAGCACTTCAAATTCCGGAAGTAACTTTCAGGTTTTCTCGGAAATAACCTACAACTTTAATTGGCTTGAACGTTTACTTAATGTGGAAAGGTATGTTATAGCTGTGAAATATACTTATCACACCACACTTTGGTTTCTATGAAACATTATATCATGCAAATGAACCCTATGATAATATTTTATCGCAAAAAGCGACTGGAAATTTGAATTATTCAAACTTTGTTTTGAACACAATTCTAAATGCTAGAGACTGCAGAACAGTGTAAATTCCTCCCTTTTTTAATGTCTTAGGCGATTTAACAAGTGATTTAATCTTATCCTGATTACCTTGAATTATTTTTCCTGAGAGCTCAATTCAAATTATTTTATATATATATATATATATATAAAAAGTTTAAAAAAATTGCGAGGATGGACAACTTCTGACGTAAAAAATATAAATAATTTAATAAAAAACGT